TAAATTATTCTGGAAGAATAAATGGGTAGTCATACCTCAAAAATACTTTGCAAAAGAAGAATAATAAAAGAAAAAGACTCCTTCTACCAAGTTTCAAAACATGTCATCTCAATGAAATACAGAAATACTGTCACAGTAAAAACTACAACTCAGTGAAATAGAACAGAAAACCAAACAACATATGCTAGAATATAAAATAATTTAATATGGTGGTAAGATGGCATTTTAAATCACTGGGGAAAGTTTTGACTGGTCAATTAATTGTCCTTTACAATTGAGACAATTGTAAGGAATTCTAGTTAGATTTCTACCATGTATAGTATGCACAGTAATTTCAGAAATATTGAAGTGTGAGGTGTAAAAAGAAAAAGACGGGAATAAGACATAAAATACATAAATTATAAAATAACCATTTATCTGTATTTTCCATTCACCTGGTCTGGTGTGAGAAAGAGAATTTTCTCCAAATTGGAAAGATCAAGTTTTATTAGCTCAAGTTGCCTTATCACAATCTTCATCAGATAGACCCTCCATCAGATAAAGCCTTCTTAACATCCATCAGACAGACCGTCCTCAGTTTCCATCAGATAGACCCTCAGGTGAATGAACAGAATGTTCATCTCTCTATTCAGCTTACTTTCTACTCTCCATTAGTAAAGATTCTCCTCTCTTTCCAAATTCTTGATGCAACTCGTCTCTGACTACACTTTTGGTAGATGGTTTCACCCCACTTCTCAAAAAAACAGAGCCATTAGGACACTTCGATTCCTCCCTGCACAGCATTAGCACATTTCCATCCTCTCCTCTTCTTTCACAGAAGGAAAGATACCTTCTTTCAACCCACCCCTGCTCTTGCCTTTCAGGACCTTACCATTGTCAGCTATTTCCTCTCTTTCTCACTCTTCTCTTTATTAGCTCTGTTTTAAAATTTTTTTCTTGGTTGCTTTAATCATAACCTCTCTTATCTTTATGAGGATCACCATTTTGGCTCCATATCTCATTCCTGTTGTTTGGAATTCCCTTCCTTTTCACAGCCAGCATCGTTTACTTGTGTCACCTCACCTTCCACTTTCTTGTCAACCCTCTTCAGGACAGCTTGTGATGCCAGCATTCTCCCTTAAATTACTCTTGGTTGGCTCATGAGTAACGTTGAGGACAGTAGGTTCAATGGGCAAGTTTAAAGCTACATCTTACTTGACTACTCAGCCATATTTGTGACTGCTGACCAGCACCTTCTTGACCCTCATTCCTTCCTTGGATGCTATGGTGACAACTCACTTCCAGGTTTTCTGATTGCATCTCTAACACTGACTCCCTGTTTCTCCATTCATTTTCCTCCTGATTGTTAATCCTGGAGTTCCACTTCACTTAGTTTTAGACATTTTTTTTTCTCTGCTCTATACTCTTGCCATCTATTCCCTGCCCACGGTTTCCATTTCCAAACATTGGCCCCAGTCTTCCCATATCCAGCTGCTACTCAACGTTACCACTTGGATGTTCTTTGTATACCTGAAATAAATTATGACAAAAACAGCTCACCAGCTTCCTCTCCAAAATTGGTCATCCTTTAAGGCTTCTTCTCTGTAAACAACATTCTGATTCCCCAGTTGTATAAAACAAAAGGGCTACAGTTCTCCATGACACATCCCTTCCCTCCTTCACCCTTATCTGTCACCACCAAGTCATGTTAGTTTAGCATCCCCATATCTCTGCACAGTCCATTTCACTTCTACATTGCATCACTCTGCTTCAAATCTCCTGCACAGTCCATTTATCTTCCACATTGCCATCATCTGAGTTCAGATCTCCTATACAATCTATTTCTCTTCTACGCTACCATCATTCCAGTCCAGGACACGGTTCTTTCTCCTCAGGATGATAATGCAGCATCCTAACTGATTTTTCTCCTTCCACCCTTAACCTTACAAAGCTAACTACCACACTGCAGCACCTCCCCCTTTTGCCCTGGTAACTTCTACTTATCCAGCAACTCTAATGTATGTGCCATTTAATATCCTAACTTGCCATTCTAGGTTTGCCTCTGATTTTAATAATTCTCCTAATACCATAGTCCTTTAGGTCAGTGTCCTGATTTTAAAAATTTAATGAATTAATTATGAGTATAATCATTAAATGTTCGTCTCTCTTTCCAGAATACAAGCTTTATCAAGGATTTGACTACTTCTGTCTTTGTTGTTGTTTATCTCTAGTATCCATCACTGTCCCTTGATGATATTAAATACATAATAAATATTTCTGGAAAGGAAGGATGGATAAGGGAAAACAATAGTATTCCTGACTACTTAAAAGCTTCTGCAGGCTGAGTATGGTGGCTCACGCCTGTAGTCCCAGCACTTTGGGAGGCTGAGGCCGGCAGATCATGAGGTCAGGAGTTCGAGACCAGCCTGACCAACATGGTGAAACCCCGTCTCTACTAAAAATACAAAAATTAGCCCAGTGTGGTGGCGCACACCTGTAATCCCAGCTAATCAGAAGGCTGAGACAGGAGAATCACTTGAACTCAGGAGGAGGAGGTTGCAGTGAGCTGAGATTGCACCTATGCAATAAAGCTTATGCCCTTAAAATGAAATTAGAGTTACAAGCCCATAAGACAAAGATGAGCAAAAATGAAAATGAGCACAAGGTATAGAGAATTTGCTCATAAAAGAAGCAATGTAAATGGCTAATTAAACTGAAAATCTGTACTCTCCAGTATTCTAAAAAAGATACACATACACATGCACTTAATTTTTTAAATAGTCAGTGTTGGCAAAAGCAGACATATTCTTCTGTTGGGGAGTCAAGAATGGTACAAACTTTCTGAAAGGCAATCTGGTAATATATGTCAGAAGCCTTAAAAATAAAATAGTTCATTTACTTTGGCCCAGTAAATTAATTTCCATAGCATCAATCTTAAGGACATCAGCAGAGCTGCATGCATACTTACCTATACGCATGCTCATTCCAGCATCGCTCAAAATCATGAAGAATTCAAACCAACTTTAATGCCCAATAATAAAGGATTAGTGGCTATAAAGGGGCACTGCCCCCTCTAGGCAGCCAGTAAAATGCATGGCCCCAGAGAACATCCAAAGATTTTTTTTTAATTCTGCAATTTCTTGAGTGATAAAATGAGGTCACAACACAATGTACACAATAGGAGTTAATATTTTTTAAAAATAAGATATATATATATATATATATGCATAGGCATATCTTTTTAAATAAAATTTTTATATGCATAAGAAGACTAGAAAATATCTTTGAACATGCGAATTATGAGTAATTTTGTTCTTTTCTTTTTTTAACCTTTTTATGTATTCTTAATATTCAACAAATTCTGTGTATCATGTACATAATGAGCAAAACTAAATATATTTTAATTTAACAAAAGGGAACCGATTGCAGCATATGGCCAAGGCTATATGTAGCGAGGCGTTGCGTGATGATTAAGAGTATATGCTCTAAAGCTCACAGACAGGTGTTTAGTTCCCTCTTTACAACTTAAGAGCCATATGACCTTCAGCAAGTTATTCCATTCTCTCAGCCTCAGTTCCCTTATTGACGCAAAGGAGATGATACTTACTGGGCAGAGCTGTTTTGTGGCTTAAGTGAAATAATGTAGGTAAAATTCTAACCCAAGCATAAGTGCTTAGTAAAAGTACCTGCTTTTATAATGCCAAAACATAAATAGATCTGGTAACAATTTACTGAAATTCATTATTTCCATGGGGGTTACAGCAGAAAGGTTGGGGAATAATTTGCTTTCTGGCTCAGCATCTTCCAGACGGTTGTAAGAATAGTGAAATCCAGCAGGAAGATGCTGGCAGGAAGGCTGACTGCCTTCAAAAGCCGTCCCAGGGAAGGTTGCATTCATTAGGGCAAAATGCTGGCGTAGGTCATCCATCCACACATTCATCCCACCAGCAAAATGTTATGATGCATCTCCTTCATGCCAGGCATTGGGACTCAACAGCAAGACAAGCTAGCTTCCTTCTTGGAGCAAGGCAAGCTTCTTCTAATTGGATTGAGGTTTCAAGCCACATAGTTCATGTTGGATTCAGGAATTAGTCAGGAAACTGACGAAGCACTTCCTAAAGTTAGAGAAAACTTGGCAGAGTGAAGAAAATGATACTTGGGAAGATGATGAAAAGCTCACTTTGCATTTCTCAAATACAAATCCTAAAGCAAGCTTGTCTAACCAGCGGCCCGTGAGTCCCATGCAGCCCAGGGTGGCTTTGAATGCGGTCCAACACAAACTCATAAACTTTCTTAAAATGTTATGAGATTTTTTTTTTTTGCAATTTTTAAAAATCTCATGAGCTATTGTTAGTGTATTTTATGTGCGACCCACAACAATTCTTCGAGTGTGGCCCAGGGAAGCCAAAAAATTTGACACCCATGAAGCAAAGACCTTATTTCAGATTCCCACCTGCTGGCAGAACTGGAAACTGCTGTGTCCTTTCTACCCTTATCAGGTTCAGTTTGTAAACTTACTTAGTCAGTCTGCAGGTGAAAAGCCTCATCAGCCTTCTGAAAATGGGTCAACATAGGCTGGGTGCGGTGGCTCATGCCTGTAATCCCAGCACTTTGGGAGGCTGTGGCAGGTGGATCTCTTGAGGTTAGGAGTTCAAGACCAGCCTGGCCAACATGGTGAAACCCTGTCTGAAAAAAAAAAAAGAAAAAGAAAATGGGTCAGCAAACTATGGCCTGTGGGTCAAATCCAGCCCATTGCATGTTTTTATAAATAAAGTTTTATTGGCACCCCACCATACCCATTCATTTATGAATTATCTGTAGTCATTTTTGTGCTAAAATGACAGAGTTGAATAGTTATGACAGAGTTCAGTAGTTATGATAGAGAATGTACGGCCCATCAGACCTAAAATATTTCCTGTCGGGTTCTTTATAGAAACTTTGTCAACCCCTTTTCTAGGTCAGTGGGGCTGCAGAAATGATGTGGAAGGTGACGTCAAGTTAATAACTTTTCCATTCTGTAGTTCCAGGAGCTGTTCCTCTAGAATCCATCCAAGGGGGGCCCTTTGAGGAGAAGATCTACATCCAATGGAAACCTCCCAATGAGACCAATGGGGTCATCACGCTCTATGAGGTAAGAAGGTCCCTTGCTCTGTATCCATTGGCTTAGCTTTATTCAATTCCCTTCAGCCTGAGGTTGATGAATACTCATTCTGCTGAAGGTATAAAGGTGAGTGAGATGCAACTTATCAAAAGGTTTCTGACAGTACATTGGGGCGCAAACACAACGTCACACAGTGGAACTATCTTGGTAGCCTGAAGGATAAAGAAATTTGTACATATGCATTGAGGTGACTAGGGTGACAACTGACCTCATCTACAAAGGAGTCAAAACCTAGGGAATCAGATTGTTCTTATGTAGAAGAGAAGGCCCAGGCCTGGCAAACAGTAGTGAACGTTCATCTGGGAAAATACAACAACACCTGCATGGTGCTCACTCTCCCTATATCACTCCCTTTGGTTTGAAAAGAATCCCAATGTTATTCTCTGCAGCAGAGGCCCAGGATTCTTGAGATTTAAATTGTTCTGTGCCCAAGGCATATTTTGTCACCCAGGTGATGGGATCCAAAGACTCCCTGCCAAGCATTAGTGGGACCTTACCATATCAGAGATGAACCAGAACCTACTCAGGCAGGAATGTACCCATCCAGAAAACTTGTAAAAATAAGACAAATGGTATAAAAGTTCATGGCAAAACAAAACAAAACATCCCCAATAAAGCTGATAGAGCTAGGATTCAAGCACTGGGATAGGAGTAGGATTGAGTCTCCTCTTACCCCTCGTATTCTTACACAACATAATATTGCAACGCTAGATCAAATGGAAACACATAGCAATGCAGAGGGAAGGGCATGGGTGCCGAAGCTGAAATGATGTAGCCTAGTGTCCTAGTAGCTCCACCTTCTCCCAAGTTACCTTTGGCAGCTTCCTCCTTTCTTTAAGCCTCATTTTTCTCATCTGTAAAATGGAGGTGGTAGTCTTCTTCAGGGTTTCACTAGGGAGTCTGAGAGGGAGGAAAGACACGATCATCCCAGACCGAAACATGAACCTCAGGCCCACGAAGAGGCTTAAGCCACTGAGTGCTCATGCAGAAACGTGTGTGTATAGGGAGTGGGCTGGGGGAAGAATATTGTTGCCCTAAGGAAAGGTGAGCTCTTGGGAGGAAAGTCAAGGAGTATTTGATGAAGGATCAGTACTCAGGATTAATCTAACAGACCCATGAGCTCTCTAGAGAGACATAGAGGGTCCTGAGAACTCTGTGAGAGAGAAGATTATCCAACATATACAAGGTGCTTAAGAAAACACCTTGTCTCGCTGAAACTAGCATTCCTCTGAAGGAGAGCTAACATCTCCCTCTCAGAAATTTCAGGGAGCTTGGTGCAGCTCTCAGGATGAGCACATGGAAGGAGGAAACAGACATCCATCCCCACCACCTATGAGCTTTCTCAGGCCACATGTTTTGGAGAAGCTTTCTTCCTGGGGAGTACCCCAAGAGGAGAGCAGGTACTCATATACTGATACACCTTGCCTAGGACATTTCCATAACCTTATTGGGAAAGAGAGGGACTGGAAATTTAACTCAAACAAAATCCAATCACTTCAAATATACATGCTATTCTTTGTAAAGCAGAGACCCCAATCTCGCGCATGCCTGCATGTGCGCACACGTGCGCGCGCGCGCACACACACACACACACACACACACACAAATATTTAAAGGAAATAAAAATCTGTTGTGCCTGACAAACTTTTGTTTGTAAAGCAGAACGAAAGGACTCATGATTTAGGAAGTTAAGTTACTTGGTGAGGTTATGTAAAAGATGCTCTGTGCCAGATGTTCAAGACTTTTGGAATTCACAGGCCAATAGCATTTAAAAAGGTTCGGGGGACTAACCTAGGGCACTTTAACATCTTTTATTTACATCATTTCATCAAAGACATAATTCCAAAAATATAGAAAGAATATAATTTCAGAATAAAAGGCCATCCTTCAAATTGAGTAAATTTAGGATTTTTTACTAGCTCATGACAATCACCTTATTTTTTCTAATTTTGCCTTGGATTGATGGCAACTTTGTTATGGAAAAGCCCTGATCCTTGAACATACCTGCATTTGGAAACCACTAGTCTAGGGCCATGTTGCAGGTGGAGTCATATCTCTGCACAGATTATTCCTTGAGAGTAATATACTGTTTTCTCTAGTAGGATATGCATTAGACTGCATTGGAAATATGGTGATTACCATTCCATGATAAGAAGAAAGAATGAGAGGGAGACCAAGGGTGCAAACACAGCTGTGAGTTAGACTCTGTGTTTGAGCAGAATCTCCTGCAATTGAGGCATTATTATATAGTGCACTCTCTGAAGCCCCATGCACAAAGGTGGGTACAGATTAGAATAGGATGTCCTTCACAATTCTGTGTGAACCCAGTGCCTTGCGGATTTTCAGAGACCAGATGCCAGAGATGTTGGCATTCCCATGGATTCTATGGGAGACAGCTATGATGAAAGATAACTTGAAGTAGCTTCTTGGCTGTGACTTGGGCTGTAACTGCAGAGAACCAGGACCAGAGTATTGTGACTGGCTGACTTGTTTGTAAGCATTTGAGGCTACTTTTGGGGAATATGCCAAAATTCTTGAGGGATGCTGTAAAGGGAGCTAAGAAGGTTGTAGATTTAGGCCATTGTATTGTGAGCATAAACATGAGTGTGCTCATGCGTGTCACAAGCTAGTGAGGCCCAAGAAAATAAGAATGGTGATTTTTGAGCCCATAGCCTAGATCTGAATCCCAGCTCTGATATTTACTTGCTCTGTGACCTTGAGTACATCAAGTGGCCTCTCAGAACCTTAAGTCTTTCATCAGAAAAATCAAGATAATAATAAAATGACCTTATAAGATTACTGTGAGGATCCAATTAAATACATGCTTTGCACAGTGTTTGGCATTTCGAAATAACATTATAAATGTTAGCTGTTATCATTACATAAAAGTGAGGAAATTGAGGGGAGAGAGTTAAAATGAAAAGACCAAGGTCATATTACCCAGATGCTAAATCCAGAACTCCTAAAGGCAGGTACAGGTGTCTTGCCCCTTGCTTCAACTTAGCCTGATCCATAGACCAGGAGGATCGGCGTGACCTGGGAACTAGTTAGAAATGTAGCATCTCAGGCCTCTCCAGTTTAACGTGATCCTCGGGCGATTCCTATGGGCATTACAGTTTGAGAAGCACTGTTCTGGAAAATGCTATTCTTTAGAAACTTTTGGCAATTGATGGAAGAGCATGTTCCCTTGAGTAGGGAGATGAGAAGTACCTGACACTCTGGGCTCAACCCAATCCAGCCCCAGAGAGTAAGCAAGAGACCTTGCTGTGTTTATGAGGCAATTTACAAATTTAATTAGATTAAACCACTTTGATTTTTTAAATTAGGTTCTAGTTGTAATTTCAAGAGAGAAATTGGCAAATTACAAATTACCTTCTTCTGGCCTCAAAAAAGAATATTTTGTTACAAAGAAAAATAGGATAATACAAATGGAAGAGAAATTCAGGATTGTCTGTGGCCCCCTATATACAACCTTGGACTCAGCAAAGTTAAAAGCAGAGAAAAAAAGGGAGGGAGAGGAGGGAAGTTTCATTATTATAACTGTGTTATTGTTAAATACAGCAGGTCCAAGTAGTTAAGATTAAATTTCCTTATGTACAAGTCCAAATCACAGCCTCTGCATCCATCCTTGGACAATTCTTCCCCCAAAATGTGAGTGGCTTTAAGTCCCATTTTGTCTCCAGTCGTCAGTCCTCTCTTTCTAATATGAAGATGTCAGACTGTTCTAGGCTTCAACTGAGTAAGAATGAAGGGAAGAGTAAATCTATGTCACACCCACGAAATCCAAGATTCTACCTCGTTTTGGAGTTGCTTTGCTGTTTAATTCTTGCCTTTAAGCCAGCCATAGTCTCTGAAGGTGAAGCAATGATGATGCATGAATAAAGACAGTTAATGCAAAGGCCCTGGGGTGGACATACTTTGGCGTGTCTTTAAAATATAATAAAAAGGAGACCAGAGTGACTGCGGCTTCCTGAGCACAGAGGACAGTGATGAGACCATGCTGGGGAATGGGTAGGTAGGGCCAGGGATATCAGGATTCCTAGAGCTTGCATTTTATCCTGAAAGAAATGGAAAGCCCTAGGAGGGTTCTACACAGAGGAATGAAAGGATCCAGTTTATATTCTTAAAAAATCACCCAGCTGTTGTGTGGTTCAGAGATGGTGGGCACACAGGTATCTTGGAGACATCTGGAAAATGCACCAGGAGGCAAGGACATTTCCATCATCTGTGATATTGAGATGAATTAGTTATTAGGTGACCTTGTATTTGGGCAGAAGATGTGAAAGCTTTGTTATAGCTACCTCTTTTTTTTTTTTTTTTTTTTTTTTTGAGATGGAGTCTTGCTCTGTCACCAGGCTGGAGTGCAGTGGTGTAATCTCGGTTCACTGCAACCTCCATCTCCCTAGTTCAAGCAATTCTCCTGCCTTAGCCTCCTGAGTAGCTGGGATTACAGGTATGCGCCACCATACCCAGCTAATTTTTGCAATTTTAGCAGAGACGGAGTTTCACCATATTGGCCAGGATGGTCTCGATCTCCTGACCTCGTGATCTGCCTGCCTTGGCCTCCCAAAGTGCTAGGATTACAGGCATGAGCCACTGCCCCTGGCCTACAGCTGCCTCTTTACTGCTGTTAACCCAGCTTTGACGTCCTCTTTTCAGTTATGATGTCTTAACTTGATGAGCTCCCTGGAGCCATGGACCCTTAGATCCTGGGCCCACGTTTGTGAGTGTCTCACCCTGACCCTAATACCACTCCAGGGTTGTGAAACAGTCTCATTCTGCAGCAGCCTCAAACTCTCTCTCTGTCCACTGAAAAGGGAGCTCAGAATCCTCATCAGAGCCCACTGGTTCCAGCCTCATCTGAGCTGCAGCAGGAAGTATTAAGATGAATTGGACCATGGCCTCAAATCTTTGGGGATTTGCTCTTTAGTGGGAGATGCAGAAGGTACTTCCATGATCATTCCCCTAAC